CATTTTTCAAGTTTTACCCATGCTGTAGCATGTATCAGCACTTCATTTATATTATGGACAAATAATACTCAATGGCATGGTTACAGGACACTTGGGTGGTTGCCACCTTTTGACTACTGTGAATAATGTTGCTATAAACATTTGTGTACAAGTTTTTGTGTGGACTTGTTTTCATTTCTTTGGGGTGCATACCCAGGAGTGGAATATGGTAACTGTTTGACCATTTGAGGAACAAACCATTTTCCCAGATGGCTGTGCCAGTTTGCATTCCCCCGAGCAATGTGTGAGGTTCTGATTTCTCCTCTTCACGGCCATTTGTTGTTTAACCTTCTGATTTTATCTGTCCTTGTAAGTGTGAAGTTGTATCTCATTGCAATTTTGATTTGCATTTCCTTGATGACTAATGATGCTGAGCATAGTGTGTTATGACGAATTGTGTGTCTTCCTTGGAGACATGTGTATTCAGATCCTTTGTCCATTTTTTATTGTTAAATTCTAAGAGTTCTTTGTATATTTTAATACATGTCCTCTATCAGATATAAGATTTCCAAATATTTTCTCCCGTTCCGTGCGCTGTCTTTTCACTTTCTTAAGGATAGCATCCTCTGAAGTACAAAATTAATTTTGATAAAAGTACAATTTATCAAATTTGGTTTTTGCTATTGCTTGTGCTTTTGGTGATACATCCAGTAAGTGCCGAAGGCACCTAAAAGGAATCAGCTTCAGATCTTACCCATTCCGACTAATACCATCTGGAGAGTCATAAAGAGCTTTTATTCTTTCTACATGAGGCAGAGAGAAAAATTAATTTTATTATGAAATATTTAAGATATACATAAAGGTACAAAGAATAACATACATCCGTGTCCCCACTGCCCAACTTAAGTTTACCAATAAAGCCCCTGTTGTCCCCTCCCTACCTCCACTCTGGAGGTAGCCATTTACCCTAAATTGGTGTTTATTATGCTCACGTATTTCTTCACACTCTTACTACATATGTATGTTTCCTTTATCAATTAGTAGTACTGGTTTGTCTCTTTAAACTTCATATAAACAGCATTATGTGGCTCATATTCTGCTATTGCTTTCCTCCAGTGTTGAGATTTATCCATGTTGATATAACTGGTATAAGTGTATAAATATAGCTCTAGTTCATTAACTTTCATAGTGGCTGAACATTGTATAAATACATTGTTTATCCATCCTATAGATGGATATCCATGTTGAAATAACAAAAAACTAGGCAAAATGACACTAAACACTTTTGAGCACATAAACTAGTTTCCCTAGAACTGTGGCTTTCTGTATTTTTTTGACTGAAGCCAACAGTAAAAAATACATCTTATATCTCACCCTATGCATACATATATTTGTGTGTAGATGTATATCAGTATATAACAAAAGTTTCACATAGCATTGCCTCCTATGTTTTATGTTGCTATAGTTCCTTAAATGTATACACAAAAGATGATTTATAGACACTGAATTGATTTCATGACTTCTCTATATAGGCTACTATCATAGTTTAAACGCTGCTCAAGAGTATCATTCCAAGGAGTGGAACTGCTGGGTCATGGGGTGTCTTGGCTCCGGTTGCCATAACAAAACACTAGAGTGGGTGGCTTAAACAGTAGACTTTTTTTTCTCAGTTCTAGAGGCTAGAAGTCTGAGATCGGTGCTAAGCATGGTTGGACTCAGGTGAAAGCCCCCTTCCTGTCTTACAGGCCGCCTTTCTTTGTCATCCCATGTAAGACTCTCCTTCTCTTTTGTAAGAGCGCTGATCCCATCATGTAGGCTCCACTCTTATGATCTCACCTAAACATAATTACCTCCCAAGGGCCTCACCTCCATTGGGGAGTAGGACTTTTTAACGTATCAATTTGGAGGGGACACATTCAGTCTATAGCTTGAGGTATACACATATTCCGCTTTACTAAACAATTCCACTCTTCTCCAAAGCAGTTGTAACAAATTATGCTCACAAAAGAAGACAAGCAGTTGTCACTGTTCTGCCTCCTTGCTGGATTTATGTGATTCTACCTATGCGAAATGGCATCCTGTAATATAAGTATGCATTTCCATAATTAGTAGTGAGCCCGAGCATCATTCCTATGTCTACTGGCCACCTATATTTTCTTTTCCCATAAACTATGACACAGGGAATCTACCTACAGAAAACGTTTCCATGGCGATTCCAGAGCCTGAGTGGCAATGCATATTCAGGTGTGAGGTTCTGGTGTTTAAATCTGCAACCGTCAAAGAGAAAAGGGAGCCAATCAAACATTCCCTTCTCAGGAAGCCTTTCTTTTCAGGCCAGAGCAAGGAGAATCAGCGGGGGTGGGGGAAGAAGAAGAAAAGCCAGGTAAAGGAAAGAGGTTTTGTTTTTCTTCAAGCTAAAAAGCCCTAATTTGAACCACAGAAAAAAAATATTCTCTTGCAAAGTCTAGCTGTATAAATCTGGATAAACTGTTATTCTTCTGTTCTCAGTCTTCCAATCTGCACCACTTCTTACTCCCATGTGGAAATTTTGAAATAAACATTCTTTTAAAACTTTGAAAATAGTTTGTAGAAATTCAAGGTTCTGTGGTAGTCATCCAATGCTTTCCAAAAGCTTAAGTGAGATGATAGAACTGTAGTACTCTGAACAACTTTTTGGAAAAAGCAATTCTCCTGAATTCCTGCTTTAAAAGCCTGATGGCTCTACAGAACGAATTATCTCCTAGGCAATTATATCCTATCCACTGCCCTTTCAGTCTCAGAAAAGAAATTCTTCATTTTACAGGTATAGAAATCAAATCCCTCAGTGCTCAGATGGCCTTTCTGGAGCCTCCTGTTCTCTGGTTCAGGCTTTTTATACATTAGTAACCCCACCCTCCGGGTCTGATCCCCCTCATGCTGCAGGTGCCAAGATCCACCTTCATGTCAGACTTGCTTTAGACTCAGTCACAAGAGTGAGGGCTCAACAGTCCACTACACTTCACCTTCCCACTCTTAGGATGAAGCAATCATGGAAAGGAAGCAGATGACTGCTCTGCGATGTCTATTACCAAATCACAAAGGAAAAAGCTGGTACCAAACAGCTTCCTTTACCGAAGAATAATTAGCTAGATAGATATAATTTACAACCAAAGGGTGTTACCAACCAGTGGGCCAGGATCTGGAGCGGATCATATCAGCTGCTGCTGCCACACTTTCCTTCTGAGGTTTGACTTCGCTGCCATCCTTCAGTCACATCTGCCCCACCAAATGGGATCTGGAGGCTTGACAGAAAGAGATCCCTGCTGCCCAAAGCCATCTTTAGCTAGAAGGCATGCCACCTGTAGAGTAGCAGTTGAACTGAGCCAACAGTGTCACAACCTCTGCTGAGCCAATGGGTGCTCTTTCTGCATCGCTATGAGGTTTGTGATCATCACTTGCATTTTTTACTGAGCTCTTTGCTCCTTCCAGTGTTTACTACTGCCTTCCTCGCCTCAGGTGGATTCTCCCAGCCAAAGCTCCACTGTAGCCCAGGACCTTCTCTAATTCTGTGAATCAGTGCTCCCAAACATGGGGTCAAGCAAGTGAAGACAATCATACCTAATGACCTAAAAGGGTTGCTCCTTCACTGATCAGTAACATGGTTAAAACAAAACCTAGAAGAAATTCACTTTGGTTGCAAAATTGGAACTGAAGAGATATTTTTATATTTTGTAAAGATTTATCTATAATTGTTCTCCATTCAGACTAAAGTTCTAAATAGTTGTCATCTACTGTGAAAAACATACAAATAAGGAAAGGCAAGGCCAAAAGCCAGCAAAGATAGGAGGAGGAAGCCGGAATGAGATTAAGTACTACCCACGGATTATTTTACTTACTCATGCCTTGTCTAGCTTCGGAAGCACAGCACCAAGGGCAAAGGGGTTAAAAAGCAAGGCCTTGGGTAAATAAGTTTCTTCTCAAGCCCATGGAAGAAGTGTCTCATAGCACTAGCATGTCTAGGTCTCAAATACAAGATAGTATAGAAGAACCATTTCAAAAAACTGAAAACATTTCCTAACTGTTAACAGGTCTCTTCCTAGTGCAAGTAAAACTAAAAATTCTTAGGAACACTAAGAGACCCAGGAGCGCCTATTATAATCAATACAGGCCTCACTTTCCCCGGTTCCTCATTCTCCTTTACGTGAAGTTACAAAAGGAACAAGATGTTACTGTGGTAGTTCCTATCATTTTGATAACCAAATTAGTGCAGAAAAATTATTCAGGCTATTTCTGAAACACCCTGTATTTGCTTCAGTGTTCAACCATGTGCAAAGTGCATGCAGTCATTGTGTCTTGCCCTGGTGCTCTGGCCTCTGGGAAGTAACTGTCAGCTGAGTTTTATTCCCAGGAACAAAGGTGCCTAGCACTAGGGAGCCTTCAGTCCTCTTTGAAATCTCATGGTCCTAGCCAGAAAGGGGAGGGGAGGGGGCATTTACAGGAAAGCTAATGCAAAGCTATTTTTATCTAGATCTAACACACCAAAGGCCACTTGCAAAACATTTTGGAAGCAGGATACAGCAACTGCTTGGAAAAATCAGGCATCTTATAACAATAAGATCTGTTAACAAAATATAATCGACTCACATCCAAAAGCTAACTTGGGAGCTGCTCCAGGCACCATCTAATTAACTGATAGAAAAAAAATCCTCAGAAATTATCATTGTTTAAATACACTCTATTTTATTTTTGTCTTAAAATAGTTTAACCTTTATGCTACAGACTTATTTCAAAAAACAGAAAATCTTATCTTGCACCAAAAAATATATATATAACACTCTGTTTTATTATTTTTTTCTCCAAAGACCATTAAATACTAACTGGAAACAAAAACTAAATAATGAATGTAAAGAAGAACCAAATTTTGTTTTAAAAACTAGAGTTGCACATTTTAAAACATAATTCTAAGCAATGATTTGTCGTCACTGCATCAAGTCCACTCACACTCCAACAACAGCAGATCTGTTTACCACCAAGTGCATTGATTCCTAGCCATACAATGGCTAACATTTCATTTTCACGGTAAGAGGAGCAAAAGGCTTCAATGACCTTTGTACTCTTAAAAAAAAAAACAAAAAAAAAACAACAAAAATATTTCCTAGTTATCCAGTGACTTTTTTTAAAGATCACTACCCTTTAAAGTTTGTTAAAGAATAGGTACATAGTGTTTTAAATAAAATGAAAAAATACAACAGCATTGAACTAAAATATGTGATTATTTTAAACAAACAGTGCACAATCTGAGGAAGTTTGGTTAGGGCGCAATCATTTTTATATATACATGGAAGTCACATCATACACATACTGGAAAACAGGGATTAGGGGCTCTTTGCCTTTAAAAAAAAGTTAAACTAAAAGACAGAATTGTGTCCCCAGCTTTTTCAAAAACTTTGTGAAACAGTACAAAAAAGCAGGCAACAAATTCATTTTTAAGTAATACCTATGGTGCTAATCTGCTCAAAGTAACAATGAACAACTGACTAAGCTAGCAAATCAGACAGTTCATATTCACAACTGATAATAATAAACAGAGTTTACGGGATGCTCAACTGTAAAGAATAATAAAGTCCATTCAGTCTGGCCCCTTCCAACAAAATAAAAAGACAACTACTGGTGAGCAGCAATAACGTGTTACAGGGCAGTCGTGATGATGTAATAAATAGCTGGTTACTGCTCTGTGGTTTCAAATTGGGTGGAGGGGAGGCTTAACCAAATTAGTGCCTTAAACCAATCTGTGACCCAACTGCACCACTTAGCAGAGATGTTACTTTGAATGGACAATGTTCTATGAAGCATAAAGAAGTATTTATGCTACCAAATGCAAAACTTTGGTTAAAAAAGATCCCCTTACAAGAAATTTCAAATGTCACAGGAGTTGTTTACCACAGAATTTTGCCATTAATACCTTGCCAGAAACCACATCCCAGCTCTACTGGATCTGGCAATGAAAGAAGAGTTGAAACATAGTCTCTATAGTTAATAGGTGGGAAGTTCCAATCTAGTGGGGGGGGGGGGCTGACTGTCTCTACCATCCCTTCCCCTCCCCTTTTTTGCATCTTAATTTCTAAATCTCTGTTCTGGTGCATTAACTCAGGTAGGTAGGCAGGGTGCTGGAAGAGGCACAGGTGAGGGCAAGTGCAACCTGCTATAAAAGCAAAAGGCCAGAAAAGAGCTTGGTTACAACTTCATTCTGCTCCCAATCCGCAGTGCACATAGCACATCAAAAGAATTCTCTTTAGAGTATGACTATTAGGAGCTAAAGAAAACATGTCATGGGAACTCATCTGCTGTATGGAACTAGACAAACACATTAACATAAGAGTATGTACTGCAAAACATTCTTTAAAACGGGCTCTGCCCTGATATTGGGGACAAAATAAGCTGCAAAAACTTCAAGTCAAATAAATCCATTCTATTCTTTCTCAATGATTTTCCTGGAACACACAGACCAGAAATTGTACATTTCTGCTTTGTCTAGCATTTTAATTCAAGTCAAAAACAACACATAACAGTAAAATTTAATAAATTAACCCTAAAGTAAAATGTGAAGGTCCAATGATACACCAGTAGTGAATCTGCAGAAGGTCCTATTTTGCTCTGGCCTCTGGGTCTTTGGTTTTAGTCTAGAACTGTGGCCATGTGAGAGACTTGAAATATGAGGTGCTAAAACTGGAGGTTAGTGATCTCTTAAAGGCCTGATCTATTAAAGGTAGATTGACAGAAAAATAAAAAGTTGATGAAGAACAGAGGCCAGATGAAATAAGATATTGTCACAGAAGCTCAAAGAACACATGCTTAAATACACTGCCAGGGAAGAGATGTATGGAAGTAAAGCAGCAGGAAGAAGGGTAAAGGAACAACTGAGTCTTTCCAAAACACAAGAAAAGGCCAGGCAGGCAGAGTCTTCTGGTGCATGCATACGCAAGGAGTGTCTCATTTATCTCAGCAGCCCCACAGCATCCACCCGCAAGTGCCTTGTGTGGAACAGGCACTTAGTAAATGAGTGTCCACTGAATGAAACTAAGAAATGGTAGTTTTCATGCTCTTATGATAAGGAAGAGCCAACAAAGTATTTGGGGAGGGAGACAAAGGGCTTTAGCAACATTGTATGGTAAAAATGGAACCAAAAACCCAAAAAAGGCTAACAAACTCTGTGGAAAAACTAACGGTGCGGTCTTTTAAGCCAGTATTACTTTACTCCTTGTGCACAGTACATAGTGTTTTACCTCTAGGTATTGCTTGTAAAATAATTCACTAGTAACTAAAACATTTCATAGGAAAAAAGGTAGTAACTAATGCCACAAACTCCAACACTGGTATTTCCTGAATTCCCTGAAGCTCCTACTACCCTTTGCCATGCTTTTTAGATACTGTAAAACCTACAGTGCCGTTAATGTGCTTTGCATCTGGTTTCTTATGATGTATTTTGGTTTTTCCAATTTTAGAAGGTAGAGGAGAAAAATATCCAAATATAGAATCAGGTCAATTTCAGCTCTAGTTTGAACAGTTGTTGTACATCCTTTATGGAGAGATCGGATATGAAAGAAGGCATTTTCCTCACAGATTTGCAAGTGCCCAAAGCCTTAGAAGCCACACAACTCTATATTCTACCTAAGTAACAGGTTTCTGTGTTCTTTCATTATATGAATAAACCAGGAAAAGGTTGAGGGAGAGAGATTTTCCTACTGATCTATCTCGCAGTACTCTCTTCAGATGCCCAGAAATCCTCGTGGTAGATATCTATCCGAAATGCCTCAGCCACAAAAGGAGACATTTTCCAAAGAGTTATGAATTATTGCAACGGAGAGACCAATTAGGTCATCTTAGCAGTATTTATAAACACAAAGGGGCATGTCAATTATCTGCGTTGTGGGAAGTCAGCCAGGAGCAAAGTCAGGAAAAAGTTAGAAGACTTAAGCTAAAAGAAAAGTAATACTTCTGTCTTCTATTTCTAAGGACAGGTTTCAAATGCACATGCCCTACTAGGTGCCAATAAGGACCTGACTAATATGTGTGCAAATGCCCTAAGGTAGGAGTGCCAATGGGTGGGCTGATAGTGGTCAAGTCTAGATATTATTACACAGAAAAATAAATACAAGATTCAAACACTGAAATTCATTTCACTTAGTAATTAAAATATTGTTCTAAAAGGAGGGCAGCGTTTTCTAAGAGAAAAGTCACCAAGTAAAATGAAGTTGTCTAATAAATTCATCATTCTCATATTCCTACTGAAGGAAAGAAGAAATTCTTTTCTCTGTGATTAAGTTATTTTCCTAAGTGACTTCTTTTAATTTACAAAAAAGAAAAAAGAAAAAAAAGGAGGGGGGGACAATTTTCCATGATTTTTGATTATACAAATGCCACAAACAGCTTCTTAGGCTGAAGCTATGACAATGAACTTCCATGTCGCAAAGAGGAGGGGGTAGAGGGGAGCAGTGCGGAGGAGACACGGTGACACGGTATTACAGTAGGTATTTACGCCTGCTGTCCTCATCCAAGGTCAGGTCGACGACTTCCGCAGGCGAGGCCCAGGTCTGCTGGGGAGTCACGGCAGTCCATGACTGAGTTTGCCGGCTGCTCACGTATGGCGTGCCCGAGCCATGCTTCCACGAAGAAACACTCTGAATCACACCTCCTCTAGGGTGGACACACCTGCAATTGAGATGAAAAGAAAAAGCATGGCTAACCATACCATAGAAAAGATAGAGGGCAATATAGCTTCACTAGTACTGATCAATACTTTTACTAAGATCAAGCCACTACACAAGTTCATGAAACCCACGACCAATATCCTTCCCTTTTTCCTCCCTCCCTCCATGTCTGTCTCCCCCCTCCTCTCAGCTTAGCCTAAAAAAGGCCAAGAGTTTTGAGTTACGTCTAGGACTCCTAGTTCTGTTACTGACAAAGAATAAGATGATGTTTCTCTGAACCCATTTAAACCTCTGGATCTTCAGGACGGCACCATATCAATCCAGAACAAAATGAATATGCCCAATCTTAGTCTGAACAAATGAAACAGTAAGAAATATAAGTGAAACTCGTTCTTAAAATAAGTTCTGTGCGATATTTGGTAGTAACACCTTCAAAGGCAGTAATAGTAATATCCCTTTACAGATTAAATTTCTAATCTGTAATCTAATCTGTATCCCTTATTCTGAAGGTCACAACAGAAATACCTGGCTCCATCAGAACTTCTTATGCTTTAGTTCAGTGTAGTAACAAGTACTCAGTTTAGAGTCTTTAAAAGTACTCTGTCAGAGAGACAGAACTGCCTTGCTGACAAACCTCCTAAGAGTTCATTGAAGAAAATTGTTTCAGAAGCACTGACATACTGAATTTCATACTCCAGTCAAGTGGGGTTCCAGTTTAAACAACTGAGTAAGTTTTGATTCAAATGAGAGGAAGGCAGGAAAGCTCAAGTTATCATTGCTATTTATGTCCTCACATCTAAGTTACTAATGAGTCCCTATGTAACATGTACAAGGTGACAAGTAACATGATTCTAGTCACATAACCAACCACAGTGGATCTTGAGCAGCTAGCTGTTTGTGCAACACAGTATACAGTGAGTGATGTTGGATCTCTTGAGAATTCCAGCTTTGATTCAACGCTGCCTGTATCACCGAGTTAAAAAGAACATTAGGGTAACAATGGACAGACATCGTTCAGTTGCAGAACTGCCTCCAAGGACCTTAAGCTCCTGTAACAAGTCCCTGCTCCTACAAAGGCTAGCCTAAAAGCAACTTCCTTACCAAGAGAGGTGCTGAAAAACAGATCCCATGGGGCCAGTGCAGGGGACAGAATGTAAATTTGTTACAGTACCAGAGAACTGTCACCTGGTCAGAAATGAGCTAAGTAGCTACTAACCCAGAGGTTTCTCACTGTATTTTCAAAGATTCGCTAATAAAAAGCTTTAAATTAAGAGACATAAAGTCCAAAATCTAATCCAAATTTGTCCAACCCATTAAATACACTCGGATTAAGTAATCATGTAGTCAAAGACGACTGTCAGCCAAAGTAGTCCATTCAACATTTATAGAATGGTTTTGATGAGTGATGGCAATGGAATACTAAGTTTATCAAGCAGTTTCACCTCATTTGACACTCCCAACAGACTTACGAGGTAAACATGGAAGTTACTACCCATGCTCTACAGACAGGGAAACTGAGGATTAAAGAGGTTACATGATTTGCCCAGGGTCACACTGCTTCAAAGTGACAGGCCAAGGAACTTCAAGCCAGGTCTGATTTTGGGTCCAATGCTTTCTATAACATCATTTGTCGCTTTACAAGTGGCGTATTAAATTACATAAGACAAACAGCAACAATCAGCAGAGTGCAAAGATAGGCCCAGACTAACAATTTAAAAATATAAGCTTCTTCAACAGTTCAAAAGCTCATCTGTACAAGTACTAATTGAAGTAAAGCTGCTTACAAACTTAGGAAGAATTTGGGGAATGAATGGTTACAAAGAGAGTCAATGTAATCTTTGGAAGAATTTCTAAAAATATCTCTGCAGTAAAAAAGGTATTTATTCCCAGTAAAGAGACAACACAGCGTAACACCAGGTAGTTGCTTTAAAAGGGATCTGATCCAATCTGCTAATTTTATAGAAGAGAAAAGACAACTTCCCAGGGTCTTAAGCAAGTTTAGCATAGAATGAGAATAAAATCAGGTTTCCACTGGGTAGTTTAGCGAAACCTTTCACTAAATAACTATGCCTTCCTCAGACTACACATGAAGTACTATACTGTGTTTGATTGTAAGGAGCAGGATCTCTTCCCTGCAGATCATTCAATAAATAACAATGTAGATTCTACAAAGTGTCCAGAATAGGAGAGTGAGAGATTTAGTCAGTATTTACTAGAGCAATGGCTGAAGGAGAGAGGAGGAGGAGGAAATGAGGCACTTCTATCTAAGTTAGATCACTTCTGTAGTTATGTTACAAATGGTTCCAGTTACCGGAAATCAACTTGGACTACTTTAAGTAAGGAGAATTTGTTGGAAAGACACTGGAGAGCCTCAAAGAACATGAGGATGATGGAACAATTAGGGCTCACTCATTTGACTCAAGCCCCAACCCTCTCAGTCTCTCTTAGTTCAAATTTTTCAATGAATCTTTTTAGTCAAAAGCTTTCCAGGCCCCTATTAACCGCAACTGGAAGGGCAGCACCCAAAGAAGGGAGAATCACCATGGATAGTGGCTACTCCACCTTGTACAGAGATCTAGAGAGCAGAGTAAGAACCATGAATCAGTTTCTGGAGGGCACATTCTGGATGATCATTACTAAACAACAATTACAGCCACTACAAAATGGAGTAAACTCCCTTTAAATGTTCAAGCAACTGCTGGGCCGCCTGTCAGAATTGTTAAAGGGGAGTCTACTATGACTTCTAAGGTCATCAGCAACTTTAAGATTTTGAACAATACTATTAGAAGTCAGAATACTACTTACAGGGAAGGAAGTAGGGGAAGGTTATGATCAAAAGGTGGTAAAAGGGGGACTCTTGTTCTATTTCTTGATCTGAGTGCTGGGTACTTAGGTATGAGCAGTTTGCAAAAACGGTACGCCTATGACCTTTCTGTGTATATTACGAGCCAATAATACATTCAAAAACTCTTCCGATTTAATGATCTCAACCATCTTGAATAAATGGTAGCTAGGAGCTGGATGAGAATAGAACAAGGCATTTAACACTTTTTTTCCAAGATGAAGAAAAAAAAGGTCAAGCTAGTAAACAAAAGGGTGCTGGAAAATCATTTCATTTACGTTATAAGATGGTATATATTACAGAATAACTTAAACAAGATAAAGAAGAAAAAAATTCAGGAGGAAATAGAACCACAATTGTTATAAACCCTATGGAGATGCCCTATAAAGAAAATGTGAGACGCTCAAAATTTTGTAAGGCAACTAACATAAAGCACAGATTTTCATATATTATCACATATTCCCTTTTTATGAAAGACATGGGGTGGGAGAAGACTCGGCTATTTTTTAATTGGTCCAATCCCAATTCTAATACAGGCTTTGTTCTCGCATCTGCATATGATTGGCAATAGGTATAAAACACTACCTAGTCATTTTGAGTCTTATAAACAAAAAAATGCTTAGACCTTACTTAAAAAAAACAAACACACTTTATAAACAATAACTTATTGTTTGTTTGTTAATCCTCACCCAAGGATATTTTTCCACTGATTTTTAGAGAGGGAGGGAGGGAAAAACATCGATTTCCTGTATGTGCCCCGATAGGGACTGGGGATTGAACCTGCAACCCAGGTACATGCCCTAGACCAGGAATCAAACCTGCAACCCTTCGATGTGCAGGCCGGAGCTCTATCTACTAAGCCACAGTGGCCAGGGCATAAACAATAACTTTTGATAGAATAATTTCCTGTTCTTCACACACTGATACCAATAAAGGAGAGACTTCACAGGAAAGAAGAGAAAAAACACAGAAAGAGGGCAGGCTCTGATGGTCAGCTTTTGATATAGTTAACTTACTCTACTAAAAAAAATTAAAAATTAATCATTTTTGTTCTCATTTACAGAGCCTGAAAGTGACCTTTTAAGATAACATTTCTTCTTATTTTTCCTAACTGAGGATGAAATGAATCCTTGTGGCTTTAGGAAAATACTCGTTTGCCTCCCTTGCTTTTTTTAGGATTTAATGTTAGCAATTGGTTCTAGGAAGCAAACAGTCTAAAATGCAAAACCCTTCCCACATCAATTCTTTTGCTGAGGGATGAACCAACATTAACACCAATGACCACAGGACCAAAGACTACACAGCGTATGAGGTAAGGGTCTGATTACTACAAAAGGTTCAGAGAATAGGTACTGAAGGAACTCTTCCAATACAGTTCCATGACAGAAAGATCTGTGCTATATGGATTCAATTTCCTAGGGCAATTACCAATGAGGCTGGTAGAAGAAGGGAAGGAAAAAGGGCCAAGAACCAAGAAAAATATTGGCATGGGGGTCATAAATTAAAACTGCTGGCAAAATGACGTGGCACAGAACTAGAGATGTTGGAAAAGTCTCTCACTGGCAAAGAACATCTTGTGAAACTGGACTGTCCAACAAGTAACACCTGGAAATGACAACATTTAGGTCAGGAGTTCATCACAGCAATACAAAGCAGCCATAAAAGATGCATTCAATCATTAGTTCAGAAAGCATACTTTCTAATCTATGACTAGAAGAAATACAGAAGTGAACACATCAAAATCTAAAGTAAAAGAGCAGGAAAGATACTGACATGCAAGAAGAGAAAAGCAACTTACAAAAAAAAAAAAAAGCACATCACAACTAGAATTACCTAGTACAAAGGGTCAAACAAAATGCTTCCAAGTATGGAAAAATGGCAACCAAAACAATTCAGAGCAACCATAATCCCAAAGAAAACCCAAGGGCCAAGCCTGAGTTTTTAAAAACCTCTCAGAAAGCCCACAACAAGGTAGACTATCATAAGAAAAATTAAGAACAGGATGACTAAATCCAAACAAAATATCTGTGCATGCAAATCAAATTAGAACAAAAAGATTCGATCAAAACCTAAAACCTTTTTCCAAGCGATAACCCTGCCAGAAGCCCATCAATACTTCATAACTGCAACCCTAGACCTGTAAAAGAAATAAATTCCAGATGAGATACAGGCGGCCAAAGGGGCAATTCTGAAGCAAACAAGAAAGCCTCTCCCCAACCTGCTTCTCAGCTCTTTAATCTTGTTTGAAAGTTTATCAGGCCTCTTCTAAAGAAACTGCTGAAAACATTTTCAGAAAGAAGAGTTAGTGAGACTCTACTCAGTCTACACCCAAAGGCCAAAATAAAAGATAGCCCCAAAATGATACAAGGGTCAATTTAAAGTACTCCAACAGGATCTGTTAACTCTACATTCCACTGTACGGACAATAGAGCCACTGAGATTTCAGAATGGAACTGTCACCTCCAAGATATGATTTCTCCAGGATTCAAACCAAAGAGTCAGAATAAAACATATCTTTATACATCAGAGCCTGTAAGAAAAAGTCCTTGAAAGTAATGTTACAGTATGTCATTTAAAGCTAACGTCACTTGACTCAGTACAAGAGTGAAACAAACATGTCTACAGAATAAAATGACAATCTGGATAAAAGTCCTAATAAGTTCAGAGAAGGGTATACTAGAGATAACCTGGGGGGACTTAGAATTTAAATTTCCAAGTCTTGATAGAAATATAATAGTATTTTAACTCCAGATACCAATAATATTGGTAGAAAAAGAAGCAAAAGGTTTCATGATGGAAGAAAAGTTGAACAAAGAAGCTAAAAAGAAAGATGGCTCACTCTATAACATTTTAGGCATAAGCAAACAGTCAAGAAGAGTCTTGGGAGAAGTTACTAGAGAACTGGACCAAGTGATATGTCTCAACAGAATAAGAGATTAGATAAACCACACAGGTTACTACCTACTCTTCCTACTTAAGTAGGAACACATGAGTAACAGTGAATTAAAATTTGAAATGTAACTCAAGCGGAAGTTGGTGAGTGGATAACATATTCCTGGCACAATTGAAGATAATTTACCTTTATCAATCTGTCAACAGGCAGGGTAAGTTTTATAGTAGGGAATCTGAAATAAAAAAATACTATAATATTCTAGAAAGAGCATAACATGGGGCTTAAAAGGAAAATAATGTCTTCTATATTATAAGAAACAATGGTGAAATGAACTAACAGCAGACATATACTGAAGTAAAGGAATAAATCAGGAGTTCTACTTCCTCATCTAATAGATAAGTCAGCTTGAAGGAAATAAACAGAAAAATAGAAGAGAATTAAGAGAATTTAATAGGAAAAAGTTTTTGGACAGAAAAAAAGAGGAAAATATGAGATAAAGAAAAGGTTAAAGAATAAAAATTATTTCCCACCAGAATAGGGGAAATAACCGTTAAAAAAAGAGAAGGAAAAAGGAAGCAGCTATGCAGGAATATTTATGGCATAAATAAAGGATAGAAAATGAAGTGCTAGGATAATCCTAGTTCTGGTAAAAATAACTGGCCCCTTTTGAGGTGATGGCACATTAAATTATGACTTAACTCTGTATTCTTAAAGTCCCAACTGTTTAACTGAAAAATGTTCTCAGAGTATCATCAGTTTCCATTAGAAAAAGGCACTCTCAATTTCTGTGCATGTGTATTTCGCCCCTCTCCACTGCTAAATTCACCTTTTATAATAACAGAAGAAATATTGGTGAATGTTTTATTGCTAACCAAAGAGTAAAATCAGATCTAAGGGCAAGGTAATATAGATATTGGGGAAATCAGGAAACCACAACTTAACTCTTATAGCATAGGAGAAAAGTTGTTTGCTATATAGAATACAGATTTTCCAAAGTCTAAATTTTTGTCATGTATCTATATGTGTGTTTAATGTCCCCCAAGAGTACCTCTGAGGGCTGCAACCAATCCTTATCTTAAAGCAAGAGTCAGTAAATTTTTTCTGCAAAGGGCTACATAGTAAATATCTTAGGCTTTTGAAGGCTATAAGGTATCTGCTGAAACTTCTAAACTCTGCCACCTGGGTGCAAAACACACCCATAAACAATATGTAAATGAACAAGCATGGCTCTGTCCCAATAAAATTTAATTCATGAATAAATTTTATTTGAATTTCATATAATTTTCACATGTCACAAAACATTCTTCTTTTGATTCCCCCTCAACCATTTAAAAATGTAAAAACCATTCTTAGCTCAAGGTCTATATAAAAACAGGCAGTAGGCCAGATTTGGCCAGTGGGCTAGTTTGCTGACTTCTACCTTAAAAATGCCAGACTTCATAAATTATTTTCATAATTGGCTGTCTTGGTCTTATAGCTTTTTTTTTAATCCTAAGAAAGAGGACTCCCTGGGTCATATAAACATCACTAGAAATACACTCTGTTATATACTTACAAGTTTTAATGAAAGACAAGGAGATGTGCTCCAAGAAACAAGCAAAAGAGATAGGATGTCAGATGCACATTTCCCAATTGTTTGCTCCCAATATATTTCAAGAGAAAGTGAAAGGCAAGAAAATATGAATAATAGGGGGGAAAGTACAGTGATTATTATGTCCCAAGAGAAAAATTTGTCAAGTACTCTCGACAAGAAAAACATCAGTTCTAGTTCACGTACACATATGGTCACAATGTTCTCAATATGAGACAATATGCAACACATTCTGAAGCTCATATCATGTCTAATCAAAAAGTGTTTCTTAAGCCAAAAGAAGCTGAGAGAAGGCTCCCACCATTCATGCCAGCCATACTGTGATGCCTACCATTTTCTTCTCATTTATTTTTAGTTAAAATAAAATTCACAATTTAAAGTATCAGAATATTCCAAAAAATACCCTACCTTGCATGTTCCTGAACTCCCACAATCTCCACTTCACTATCTGAAGAGGCAATATTAATTTCTTCATTGAGTGGTGCACTGCCAGCAGATGTCTTTTCACTTGTAAGGAATCCTGGATCCAAATGACCTGAGAGAGAAGGGAGGAAAATTAGCACTACATTTTGATTTCTTACAACAGCAGAAACAAGTCATTGACACACTTTTTATCCAGGTTCAATCATAGAAACAAAATGGTCTTATGAGGTCTTGCCACAGCAAAACTGTTACGCATGTCAAATAAGCCAGGGCAGTGTTCTATTTAAAAAAAAAAAAAAAAAAAAAAGTTTAAAAAAATCTAAACAGACCACACACTCATAAGTAAAAGAATGTTCAAACAACATGAAGTACATAAAAGTAAAAACTCCAAGTTTCACCCTCTACTAGTATTCTTTAGGAGAAAAAACTTGGAGTACTTTGTAAGTATGTATATCTAAATACAGGTAAATGTAAATTATAATAACACATTATATTTTGTTCCATAATGCTTTTTGCACTCAACTAGTCCATCTTTAAATGACTCATGTAACAATTTTGTCATCATGTAGAGGACAATGGAGCTCTCTACTGCTTGTCATTTCAACAGAACAAAATTCTACCAGAAAAGCTCAAAGGCATAAATGGAATAAGTAGAAGTAATGATTAATATTAAATGATTAATATTATGTTTATACTGGGATGCTTTATAAAAGATTTAACAATTTTCTCTTAATTTTAAAAAAATTTAACCATTTTCTCTAAAGGAATGCAGATTTGACAAAATCTGACCCAAACCCACATATAAAAGGGAAGATCACAATTTTTGCTCTGAGCAGCTAAAATATAACCTGTATGTTACTGACCGTTCTCATTAGACAAACACAAACCACGTAACTCCAGAAAAGCACAACAGTTTGTGGCACTGGAGCAGGTAAGGACTTTTTCACAAGGGTCTCCATAAAGCACGGTGCAATAAAACACATTCTCCAACATCACAGAAAGCATGAGCTTCCACACAATTCTCTCTCAAGAAAAGCTAATGATATAGCATCAAAGTACACAACTCTATAAACAATTCCAGCAAGTTAAAATTCAGCCTGTTTTCCCAGTTCTTGAATGTTCTGAGTTCAAAGGATGAACTTTAGAATATTAAGGAGTTAGCATGAATAAAGCTACAACAGGTACAAATTTGCATTTAATCTTCAAAGGGTAGTTGTATTTAAATATATTGTCATCTGACACCAAATTATTTCTCCATATTTTAAAAAAAAATCCTTTGTGACACCTTATATAAACTAAACCAACACCGGTAAGATTTATACAAATACAACTCCCCCTTCCCCTCATCTCACTCATTCCAATGCTTCAAGGTCACTGAGAAACTTTGTACTTTCATACTCCTGGCAACTATAGTGTAACCCTTTTGAAAGTTATAGGTGGTCCCAAAGCAAAAATCTCACAATTTTTGTACCCTTTTACCCTGTAATCCTACCCATGACAATTCAGCCTAACAAAAAAAACTTTCAATAAGCAAAATGTTACGATGTCCAAAGATAAGCACTACAGTGCTATGTAAAACCTGGGGAAATGTATGAATATTTAAGTATCACACATAATACTATAAAAATATGTAGGTGCTAGGTAAAAGCTGTGAAAAGTAATCAAGTTTAGTACAATTATGGGCTTTTTTCACAATTCTTTAACATCATTTTTACTTTTTTCTAATGAAAATGATGCATATATGAGAAAACAGAAGACTAAAAAGCTTAAACTGGCTTCTAGATACAACTGGTGATTGAGATATTACAATCTAAATAGGACTTTATCACTGGCAGTGAGCACTCATCTTTGAACCCTACAAACATACAAAAGGTGGCATTCACCAGACAAAACCCAGCTTTGTTAAAGCTAGGGTAGCTGCTGCTTAAACGGTGTTTGCTTAAGTCTAGATTTGGTAAACCGAGATTCTTGCTCTGACTCTAATACTTTGCTTGTGACCAAGTCTTTTGTCCAATTTCTACTTCACTGTTGTAGGTATCACTATTGTCATGCACACTATTCCCATTGCAACTCTAGGAAGGAATATAAATTGAAAAGTCTCCCTTTTTTCAAATACTTTGAGCTGCCTTGCTTTGTGCAGCTATAACAGTTTACTTCATCTATTTATTCTTACAATAAATACTTATTTATAACATACTATGCACTGTACTAAGTGCTAGGAATACTACGGGGAACAAGGCAGGTTACTCTCTACTCTCAACAAGCTTACAATATATTCAGGGATAATAAAAAGTCCACCGCACAATGGCTTGAAAATTGCTCTGACAGGGAGGTAGATAGTGCCCTGGGAACATACAGAAAAGGAACATTTCCCAGACTTGAGGATAATCAAGGAAGCTGAGCTCTCAGGGAGTAGGCACAGGTGCGTAGAAGTAGCACAAGAAACACTGTATTGCCCTTTAGGGTATAAAAGTTTGCTGAGATTTCGAGTAATAGTAGTAAAATAAGAAATGAGGCTGGCAAAGTCAACAGAAATCAAATCATTGTAAGGAGTCTGGACTTGACCTTGAGAAACAGAAAGCCATGAAAGGATTTAAGCAGAGAAGTGACATGATCTGATTTTCAACTTTAAAAAACTTCCTCTTGGAGTGTAACAATGAAACTGGAGGGCAAGGAATACTACAGGCAAGGAAAACAGACTACTGTAGTTTCCTGGGTGAGAAATGATTATGACTGAACTAGAGAAGAAACAAAATGGAGAATACCCTATGAACATGTGTGGACAGGTTAGTAATGTTGTAAATCAGACAAAGAAAAGAACACAAGCAGTAAAAAATGATCTCTAGGTTTCTAATGTAGGTAACTGGTTAGAGTTACAATGCCATTCAGTGCACCAACGAATAGCTTGGAACATGACGATGACGTGCCTCTTAGATATTCAACAGGCAGTTGGAGGTACTGTTCTAAATCTCAGGTCAGAGGTCTAGAGAGGAAATACAGGTTTAAGTCCTCAGAACCATGATGAACGCCAATAATTAAGGGATAAAGAAAGTAAGGGGAGCTCACCACGGTATGCGAGGTAAAAAGAAAACCCAAAGATATGAAGCCACGTACCAGGGAAAGAGCATTTCTAGGAAGAAGTGCATCAAAAGAGCAGGCTGATAACAGGAGGAACTAAGTAGAGTCTACTAGAATCAGCGATAAGATGACCATACATGACCTTGGCAAGAGGAGCCTCAGAGGGACTAATGGGGCTGAAGTTACTGCAAAGCTGGAGGAAGAAAGGGAAGAGCAGACACATTTTTAAGAAGTTTGGCTATGGAGGAAAAGGCGTTAGGAGAGGGCTGAAATAGGAAGATGGGTTTGAGGAAGGGGGATGTGTATGTATATACAGTTTTTAAAGATGGGAGAGACCTGGCCATATTTAGAAAAAAGGCAGAGAACAGAGTTGGCAGAAAGCTGAGGTAATTTTGACCTGTGAAGAATCTGGCAAGGCCATCGCAAGCACAGGTGTGGGTAGGGTAGTCGCTATGATGAATGCTGCCTAGGGAAGAGTAGGAGTGCTGGATAGCCCTGAGAGCCAGGACCAGGTTGCAGATTAGGAAGTGAATGCAACCCTTAACTCTGCAACCAGGTGATTTTCTCAAGCTATACTTAACAGTGTGGATATAGGCTCCAGTGTGAGTCCAGGGATCAGACTTTGCCAGCTGGGTACAACAGGAAAGCCAGCAATACAAGGTGCTGAGGGTACTGGCAAAGAAGAGCTGGGCTTATTTATGCTAGACAGTGAAAGAAATTAAATTAGGAGGGGACTGATAAAAAGCTGGCTGATGGGCTCAAAGAGGTACAAGAATAGTGTAGTGGAGACAACAGTATGCGAGTATACAAAAGTCCCCAGTGGAAAAGGAGGAAGCATTAGGAAGAGGAAAGAGGTAAACTAATGGTTATGAGAAGTCAAACACTGTATTTCCACCCTGGTGGCCACCCACAAAATATAAGCCTCTGGAACCCTCTGTTTTCCTTCCATCTTATCCTCCACTCTGGTGTTACTCTCCTTTGCCCCGGTCACCCACGACTCAGCTTCTGTGAACTTTTCCACTGCCCCCTAGAATGCCAGCTCCATGGAAAACTGCACTGAACTTTCACCTCCTCCTGGAAATCTGATTCTCCTGAAAATGTCACCTCCCCTGCAGTCCCCTGAAGCTGCTCCTACACCTCAGCTTTGGGATTGGGATCATTTACAAATTACTGTCCCCCATCCTCATACAGCCTGTATCTTCCAGGATGTTTCCCTTTCACTGTCATATGTGGAATCCAGGACAGTTTCACTCATCATGAAACATTCTCAGCCTATGGCATAGCTTCTCTTTCTCCCCCCACTTTACATCCTGCCACCATTATTATATGAATACTCATTGTTTATATGTACAACCACTCCAAAATTATCCATGCCTAGCTGAGCCCCAACAGACATTTAAAGCCCCCTGTGGTAGACTCCCAGCAAGGGGCTCAGTACTTACCATCCTAAAAATAAATAAGCTAACTGAATTAAACCAAACTACACAGGCAGACTGTAGGAGTCGCAGTTGCTGTAACCAAACTCTTCCTCCTTTATTACTCAATGTTTTTAAACAACAGTAATTAACAAAACAAGAACACAACAGAGTAAGTTAATTCTTAGTATCTCTGTCCCCAGCTGTTTCTCCACAGTTCTAATTTATAATTCCAACCTGTGGAATGTTCTGTGAAATGTCTATCATCATTGATTAGACCCCTCATCTTGACCCCACCACCTACATAGCCTCATTTCAGATCTGGAAATACCATTGCTCTGCTTTAAAAAAAAAAAAAAAGAGACAGAAATGAAAAATGACTGTGCTACTTTTGCTCCTAATTTTATAATATCTTAAGAAGAGCAAGGTAACCATCACCAATATTTAAGATTCTTCTAACTTTATTCATTCATTATGGATCCAGAAACTAATAATTTACATATTGCTTTCACATTATTAGATCAATTCAAACCACTTTGGCAGTGCTATCTTGGCCATAAAAATCATAATCCAACCCTGCTGGCATTTAGTATTGTTACAGAACTTGGATAATGCTCTA